GGGTGTTTTTTGGGAAGGGGGAGGGTGTGTGTTGGGGGAGAGGGGTGTGTTTAGGGGAGGGGAGGGTGTTGTTTGCGTAGGGGGAGGGTGTGTGTTAGGGGAGGGAGAGGGTGTGTGTTGGGGGAGGGGAGGGCGTGTGTTGGGGGAGAAGAGGGTGTGTGTTGGGGGAGGAAGAGGGTGTGTGTTTGGGGAAGGGAGAGGGTGTGTGTTGGGAGAAGGGGAGGGTGTGTGTTGGTGGAGGGGGAGGGAGATGAGATTATACATATATATATATACACTGGCTATCTTAAACCTGGTTATCCACAACAATTCGGTCTGAAGAGATAATCATAATTAATATATATACCTCACTATTTTTTTCAGATTCAAAAATTCTTTGTTTGGGTTTGATACAGTCATTTTTTGAGGGTTCAATGTATACATTTGTCTTAGAATGGACGCCAGCATTGACTCCAGGTAATTAAAGCTACTGAAGGTATTCATTCTTTTATAGCACAAAACTCACATATTTAATCATGTAATGTCAGTAACAGTTTTATCGTGGCATATTTCATATATTAACTGAAAGATTCATAGTATAAAATGTGCCATGATTTGAGTGCAATATCCAAGCATTGTACAGCAGTTGAATAAGCAGTAATTTGACACTTTATAATTTGCGCATTTGTTGGTTCCACATCATGTATATGATGTTGCCAACTGTCAGTACATTGCTGTTTTGAACACTGTTACATCAATCTATCTATTCCAAAGCATTCTAAATATATTTTAATGCAATGTAATTATACTCAACTTCTACACGTAGGACTTACACTGATGATATTATTTCAACCATTTTGATATATTTTTAATTTTAAGCTTCCTTCCTTGACTTAATATCAAAAGGACAAATTTCCTGTTACTGGAATGGCTAGTCATGACTATCAAGGCCAAAATGAAACAGTCTTGTCAGATGAAGCATGAATTTGGAATTCAATTTTTTCTCACTTTCCTGAAACAATTTTTTTCTATATATCACACGATTGCATGATCTCGAGTACAATTCGAAATTTATAGGCATAAGTGATGTTTTGAAAGTTTTCAAAATTGGACAAGCCTTTAGGCGAGTTTAATTTGAGAACTTTCAAAACATCACGAGTATCTATCATTCCAAATAAGTATGAGAAGATTGTGCGGTTTTTTGTTTATAATACACTCAACGAAATTGAGGAAATTAATTGGGACTCTACAGAGTACAATTTGGGATTTAATTGTAATCCACTTGTCCAATCAAAATCATGTAATTTTGTTGAGTGTATTATAATGAAGTAAAATCAACCTAACCCTAACCCTAGGAAAGCAGTGTGTGTGTGTGTGGCGGTGGGAAGGATATAGGGGAGTACTGAGAAGAGGTTAAGTAGGGGATCAGCCAATGTAGGTCAGGAGAATTCAAATACAATATGCATTGAATTGTATTACCCCCATGCCTTCACTGTCTAACACATTCCCAGTCCTGTCCCTTAGGAAGGATTGCTTATTTTGTTTGGGGGGGGGGGGGGTGGGGCATTGCTAGTAAACCTTTTAAAAATCGATTGTAGCCCTCCCCCTTCCACTCAGTAAGAAATTTATGACCCTCGTATTAAGTCAACAAGGAAACAGCTTTCGCCAAAATAAACGTTTTACCCTCCATGAAAGTTCAAATTTTTACTGATCCTCCTGCCCTCTGAACCCCCCTCCCCTCTGAAGCCCCTCCCCCACCCCTCTGAAGCCTCCTCCCCT